TAATCTGCCCAAATTACCACTTACCCTGCACATTACTGCGGGCCAGGGCTGCCATCAAAATTTTTGGGGCCCGTTACACCTCTCAAGGTCTGGGCCCTAAGGGTCCCACTCTGAGTCCGCCCACAAGAATAAATTGTGTGTGTGTAAAATAGATGCAGTGTGTTTATAGTTAATGGGGAGTGTGCATGTTTGTAGTGGATGTATGTGTGCAACGGATGCAGAGTGTGTGTATAGTGGATGCAGTCTTTGTGTGTATAGTGGATGCAGTCTTTGTGTGTATAGTGGATGCAGTGTCTGTGTAGTGGATACAGTATGTATATAGTGGATGCAGAGTGTGTGTGTGTGTAGTGAATGCACAATGTGTGTATAGTGAATACAGTGTGTGAGTATAATGGATGTAGTTTGTGTAATTGGCATATTAAATGCAGTGTGTGTGCAGTGGATTCAGTCTGTGTTTGTGTAAAAATGTGCATAAGATAGGGGCTGCCTTCTGTGGGAATATTGTGTTAACTTTAGTGTTATTTTAATTTTATTTTCCTCTTCCTACCTCTTACCTGTGGCCAGGAAGGGTTGGCATTACACTCTCTTTTGGTCCAGGGGCATTATGCAGGCTACAATCTGCAAGAATAGTGAAGATGGAACCCAGGAAACGTGATCTTCAATTTCCAGCAGCTCCTCTCTCCCTCTCTCTTGTTGCCATGGTAACCCACAGCAATGGTCTGATGGCCAGAGGCTCGTGAGAGTGGCGGCAGATTACAAAATCAGAAGTAGTCTTTATCTTCCCAAGCAGTGAGCCCCGGGCCTGTGACAACAGTAATAGGCCAGTACATTATTCTGGACTCTGCAATATCACACTGCACTGCACATTACTAGGGGGAGTCTGTAATCTCCTAGTACAGCCTGCAAATTACTGGGGAAGGATCTGTAATCTCCCAATACAGCCTGCACATTACTTGGGGCTCTGTAATTACCCACAAAAACTGCACATGTCAGTTGCCCACACTCCCTTCTCATTTTAGGTTTTATTAACAGTATAACTCAGACTCCCACCCTCCACTGAGTGACCTTAAAGTGGTACTTCACAAAAGAATATGATGAGATTGTCACAATTTGTCAACCAATGCAACAGGTTTGGCTTAAAATTCTCACCAAACTCAACTACATTCAGGGTCAGCATGATGACAAATGTAGATAACAGCAAGGAAGCATGTAATAGAGTGTAAATTTGTAATAGTTATTTTACTTACTAACCCTGAGGAAACCGGTAGATCTCTCTTCCCTGCAGTCTCCAGCAGCATAGCCATGCCAGCCCATACCAGCCAGCTGCAAGTTTGACAGGTTAGCCAGCAGGACTGGACTGGTAAAAAAATTTGGCCTGGGCATTTTTTAATCATAGCAGCTCACTAACAAGGGGGTGGGGCAGTGAGAGTGTGTTTTGTCATCACCAATGACAAGCATGCCCCCTCTCAAAGTGAGCATGTTGGTTCAATGCTCTTCAAGGGCAGACCATGCACAGAGCTCTGCTGAAGAGCTCTAGCATGAGAAAAAAGCTCTGTATTTGTTCTGCACAGTGCAAGCAAATGTAATAACATGCATGTGCTGTGCTTCCTTGCAACATGTCTCTAGTGTCTCTAGAATTGGGATACCAGTAGACAAAAGGGCCAGGAAAGAGTACTGTGCATGTGTTTGGAGCCTGCTTGTGGGATTGCGTGTATGTAGAGTGTGCTAATTGTGGTGTAGTATTTTGTAATAAGGTCATTTTAGTCATGTTGTGTTTGTGGTGTAATGTAATGCATGTGTGGCCAGGGTCTGTAGAGAGTTTCTGTATAGGGGATGTAGCAAGTGTATGCATATGGGCTATAGTGTGTGTATCTGTGTATAGGTTATGTAGTGTTTGTAGGGGTTGAGTGTGTGTTTAGGGAAAGTAGTATGTGTTTGCTTACAAGGAATCTAGTGTGTGTGTGTGTATAGGGGATCCAGAGTGTGTATGCCAGGAATGTAGTGTGCGTGTAGGTGGTGCAGTGTGTGTGTATAGGGATCTAATGTGTATTTGAAGGACCTAGAATGTGTATAGGAGATCTAGTGAGTGTGTGTATATAACGGATTCAGAATGTATATAGGGATCTAGTGTGTGTAGATGATCCATAGCTGGGTAAGGGATCTAGTATGTGTCTACAATGTAATGTAATGTGTTTAGGGGTACAGTATGTGTGTGAGGGGTAAAGTGTGTGTGTGAGGGATGCTGTAGTGTGTATATATGTATATATATATGTTTGGAAGTATTGTGTGTGTGTGTGTGTGTGTGTGTGTGTGATGCAGTGTGTTGGGGGGATTCTGTGTGTATGTGTGAGGGGTGCAGTGTGTCTGAGTGAAGGGTGCAGTGTGTGTGTGAAGGGTGCAGTGGGTGCGTGTGAGGGGTGTAGTGTGTGTGTGGGTAATGTGTGTGTGTGTGTGTTAGCAGGAGCGTTGTGTGTGTGAGAGGCAAATCTGTATATTTTATGCTATTGCCCGTATTGTTGATTTCCTGAATAAAAGAGCAATGTATGAAGCATTCGTGTGTTACAGCACGAACAGTGGTTATCCACGAACAGTGAATCACCGTACTGTTCGTGGAACAAGCAAAGTACCGAATGGGAGACCACCCCCAGCAGGTCGTGTGTCTCCAATTGGGTACTTTGCAACATTGTATCCGTGCTAATTAATGTATGTTGCGGGTGGCCGCCATTCGTGTACCAAACACGTGGCGACGGCCATCTTTGTTCTCGGAGAGCCAGCAGGGTTTTGTCGTCGAGTGCCTGGAACTAAATTCGGTTACTCAGCAACACAAGCCCCACTGGACTTCCAAGCCGTTCAGGAGTTTTATTCTTTCGGGAATCTCATTCCCCCAGTTAATACAACCGTTTTAAACCAAGTGGTCCTGGTCATGTAAAATGAACGGTGTTCGGTTCTTTGTGCTGGGATCTGAGGGCAAGTTCCCTTAATCGTGCGCTCAGTTCCCGGCTATGTAATAAGGGGTTTATTAGCTGCATAGCAGGAATATTATGTCAGTTATGATGATTTTAATCATTTTTAATGTAAAAATGTATTTTTCTGTACCAAGAGATAATCCCATTAACAATGCAATCTGAGGTAATTATCTCCTTGGTACAGCAGTGTCTGTCTGTAAACTCAGTCCCCCATGTAGTCCCCTACTGGACAAACCCTGTAATGTGACTTGGGAAACCCCTTACATTTGTAACCACATGAATACTGTGACCTGTGATTAAAACCTCAGTTGACCTCCAAGCTATGTGTCGTCTAGTTCTTGGGAGAAAGGGATTGTAACTACGCTACCTGGATTTTGTCTACTTTGTACCTGCTTTATTCTGTCTGCCAGCGGAGATACCGTGGATAATACAACTACTCCGCTACATGAAGGTAATGTGTGTGTGTGTGAGGGTAATGTGTGTTTGTGTGTGAGAGTGCTGTGTGTGTGAGTGCTGTGAGGGTGATGTGTGTGTCTATATGTTAGGAGGGATTGGCGTGTTGCTATCCCTGGTGGTGCTAGTGGCGAGTGAACTATGCCATGGCAACGCTCCAAGATAAAGCTCCGCCGGGTCCTCTCCTATGTCCCTCCCCAGCCGGCGGCAAGAGGGCCAGTGAGAGAAATCTTTGATCTCCCCACCGGCCCATGAAAGCACACAGCAGGGCCAGAGTGAGCCCTGCATGGACCGGCCGGGGAGATCCTGTGACCTCCCCTGCCGGCCTTGGCCCATGGCCATTGCAACACCATTTGCCCAGTGTGCCCGATGGCCAGTCTGGACCTGTAAGCCAGTAATGTGAGCCTATCAAATCAACATGAGCCAGGAGTTGGAGCTCCATCCGCCCCTTTGTTAATTCAGCCCTGGCTGCAAGAGTGGAATTATTACTGCCATTTATATAGTGCCAACAGATTCTGTAGCACTTTACAATATTATATAAATCAGGTACTATTATAATAGTGATAGAGGAGGTTCATGTATTATGATACAATTCAAGTGCAGCAGCTCACAAGGCTTGAGTTGGCCCTTTCTTTTTTAATGCATTGTGTGCCAATAAATTAATATATAATACAGACTAAGGAACAGCGTACACATAAAAATATTTTTTAACGTTTTATAAGGCTACTTAAAATCACATGTCTCAGCAAACAAATATGGGGATTCAGTTCCACCATATGGCAATATTGTGTTCAGCCCACCACTACTTTACAGTAATACAATATCGCTGGGGCCTACACTAATTCAAATGTGGGAGAGAAATTAAATAGTGCTAGTGCTAAATACGCAAGAGTGTATTATAATAAGCTGAATATAATGCAAAATAAATGTGATAAACGTAATTGCAAATGCAGTATGAGAACTAAACAAAAAGTGATAATGCTTTGATGTATATAATCACAATGCATATGTCATATATGTGCTCTATGAAAATTATAATAAAAGTGATATTACTGTCCATAACCTCCTCAAATATATACCTGGGCAATGTTCTGCTGGGAAACCTTGGCTCCTGGTATTCATGTGGATGCTACCTACCACCTACCACCTTTCTGGAGATTGTTGCAGACCACGTACACACCACCAATGCAATGGTGTTAACTGATGGCTGTGGCCTCCTTCAGCATGATAATGCAGCCTGTTACACTGCAAACATTGTTCATAAATGGTTTTGAGGAACATGACAAAGAGTTCAAGGTGTTGCCTTTTCCTCCAAATTCCCAAAATCTCAATCTGATTGGGAATCAGTGGGATATGCTGGAACAACATATCCAACCCATGCAACTTGCAGGTCTTAAAGGATCTGCTGCTAATGTCTTGGTGCCAGATACCATAGGACATAGGAGGTCTTGCGATTCCTTGTCTCAATGCATCAGAGCTGTTTTGGCAGCACGAGGGGTACCTGAATGATATAAGGCAAGGTGTTTAAATGTTGAGGCAAATCAGTGTATGCAGAAAATTTGTTTATTATTGCTATTTCTCATGCATATCTCTGCATCATTTGCTCTTGTGTTGGCAAAAGTCATGAGCGTGCCATGACTTTTGCAAACACAAGAGCAAATGATGCTGAGAGACAGCATTATTTGCTCCTGTCTTTGCAAAAGTCATTGCACACTCATGCAGTGCTGGTGCTTGTTTAGTTGTATAATTTAGTGGGTGGGTGAGAGGTGGGTAAGAGGAAGGGGAGGAGGCTGAATAAACTCTCTTAGCTAAGAGGCAAGCCGGCAAATGCAAACTTACAAAGTTTATAGTAAGTTTATAAAAGTTTATTACATAATTTAAAAACTTTTCTTCCATTATTTTAGTTTGTAAACATGTGTAAATATGTGTACTTGTTGTTTGAAAAAAAATCATATCTTTTTAATACGTTGCACCAAAAATTGAACATAACAGTGTCAGTGACTGATAAATCTCCCTCAATGTATTGTAAATTAATTATGTTTAAAAAAAAAAAAAAAATAGTAAAAATAATTTCAAGGACCCTGTTAGTCTATACATAGCAACTATTTATTCGGCTGAAAAAGATCTAAGATTTCCAGACCTTGAACTGCTGCAAAAATCAAACTGGGAGTTCATCTTCTGCATTCAGCTGGCTGCTGTGCAAGGAGACAATATATAACTTCACTTGTTCATTTAATTTAAATCAATGCACCAGTAGTTGTGTTCCAGAACCGATATAAAATATACCCATGAAGTTGACAGCATGACAAATATAACACAAATTACTTACGACGTTTCTTACACTTTAAATAACTGCTGCGCCCGTACAAGAATGGAAGTGCAGGCACTGTGGAATATAAAATAAAGTGTCTGGTAAACATATAGTGTTGAAGTCATGTGTCATCCTGTTATTTTGTTCCAAATTATTGACTTGCACATATGAGGAGTACGTTGTTTAGCTAAGGACATTACTAGCAAAGCATTTTTTAAAGCAGAGTGCTTTTAAATATGCATTGTAACTGCATCTTTCTTGTGTAATATCTTCACTTATTGTTAGCAAAGAAGCGGCAAAGATGGACTTTTGGACATTAAAAAATTACTCCTCCTGTGTTTCATGAATTATTTTTCTTTATTTCTCTCCCTAATGCAGGGAAAATTCCTTTGACTATAATCATTCACAACATTTTCTATAACCATTAGTCTTATAAATGTATGTTTTTCACTGGTTTTGCATCTTTTCCTGAATTGTGTTTCAAAGCTGTTGTATACAGCAAACACAAACATCAAGAAATCCATGTTTAACCCCTTAAGACCGGAGGGCGTACTATTACGTCCTCTAATAGGCGGCTCTAAACGCCGCCGGGCGTAATAGTACGCCCTCCGGTCTTTCTGTACTTACCCGGTCGCCGGCGGTCCCACGCCGGCGATCGCGGTGGAGGGGACTCCCAGGGAGCCCCCCGCGGCACGACCGTCCTCCAGGAAGCCCCCCGGCCGTGTGAGAGTGGGGTCCTAGCGAGGACCCCACAATCACATGGCCGGGGATAGCTGGCTTCTGTATTGCTGGCAGGGGGGCTGCCTGTAATGACAGGTGGTCCCCCTGCTGGCTGAAAATAAAAATGAAATAAATAAATAGTGTAAAAAAATAAATAATATATACTTAGATCATATATATATTATATATATATGATCAAAGTATATATATATACACACATATACATACACACATGTACACCGTCTAGGTGTATTTTACTATTAATATATATATATAATTATATATATATTAATATCAAATTACACGTACACTGATACTGATTAAATATATATAATTATTGTTATATATATATTTATATATATTATAAAAAAAATTAAAATGTAAATACGTTAAAAAATAAAATTATAAAAATAATTAAAAATAAATAATTAAAAATATATAGATGTGTGTTATTTCGTTCTAACTGTATTGTGAAATTAATATATATATATATCAAAATACACATAGAACGAAATAATATATATATTTATACACATAAATATATACTTATATATCACTATATATATACCTATATATAAATAAAAATATTTAAAAAAAATTATATAGATATATACATATATATACACATACGTATATATATACATATATTGATTCTACATATATATATATGTAATATTTTTACATAATTAGGTATCTTAATTAATTACAATTAGCAGGACCTGCATGACAACCCATGCCGAAAGTAAAGGGAATTTAATTTGCTAGCACTATCTTTAACCCTATAACTTTCCGAGACACCATAAAACCTGTACATGGGGGGTACTGTTCTACTCGGGAGACTTCGCTGAACACAAAATAGTAAATGTATTAATAAATCTATGTTATCGCTAGTGTAAAGTAACGCTTTTGCATTTTTCACGACAAACAGCATTAAACGGACAATATTATTAAGTTATGATACTTTTACTGTTTTGAAAACACAAATATTTGTGTTCAGCGAAGTCTCCCGAGTACAACAGTACCCCTCATGTACAGGTTTTATGGTGTTTTCAAAAGTTACAGCGTCAAATATAAGGCTTGTGTTTCATTTTTTTCACATTAAAATTCGCCAGATTGGTTACGTTGCCTTTGAGACCCTATGGTAGCCCAAGAATGAAAATTACCCCTATGATGGCATACCATTTGCAATAGTAGACAACCCAAGGTATTGCAAACAGGGTATGTCCAGTCTTTTTTAGTAGCCACTTAGTCACAAACACTGGCCAAAATTGGCGTTTTTTGCATTTTTCACACACAAACAAATACTAACGCTAACTTTGGCCAGTGTTTGTGACCAAATGGCTACTAAAAAAGACTGGACATACCCCATTTGCAATACCTTGGGTTGTCTACTATTGCAAATGGTATGCCATTATGGGTGTAAATTTCATTCCTGGGCTACTATACAGTCTCAAAGGCAACGTAACCAATCTGGCGAATTTCAATTTCAAATGTAACGTGCTATATTTGACCCTGTAACTTCCCAAAACGCCATAAAACCTGTACATAGGGGGTACTGTTTTACACGTGAGACTTTGCTGAATACAAATATGTGTATTTTATTGCAGTAAAAGCAAACAGTATTATGACACTGACCGTTAAATGTCATGTAGAACTAAAAAAATAAAATCGTATTTTCTCCCATTTTTTTCATATTAAATTATGTTTCATAGCTAAATATTTGATATTAAATGAAAGCCCTGTTTCCCCTGAATAAAATGATATATAATAAGGGTGGGTGCATTTACTATGAAAGAGGTGAATTACGGTTGGACAGACATGTAGCGCAAATGCCAGGTTTTGTTTACATTTTGTTTTGTTCACAACGTGTACATTTGGCTCCGTCCTTAAGGGGTTAAAATAGAATAAGGCAAAAATGTGTTTCTTTGTTAAATTAATTTGCATTTACCCACCCAGAATCCTTTGCAGTAGTAACATCACTGCAAATTGGAGATTTCTGTGGGAAAATAAAGTCTTATGGCTTGACTGGTGTGCAAATCTGTGTTTAACAATGTATTGACTATATATGTATATATATTTGAAGGCTTGGCCTGTAGTTGTGGGAGGGACTTTAATCCCCTTTAAATGGCTGCCAATCCACTCTCACCTTACCGTTGCTGGTCTGGCAAGTCTGAAGCGTTTACTTCTGGTTCAAACCGCCATTTTGGATTCCTTACCGGTATTCCTCGTGGTCTCCTGGTCCGGTGCTTCCCTGCCTCTGCCACCCGTCGCTGGCGTCCGCGCAGCCCGTTCTCAGCTCCAACACCGGGCTTAACCGTAAGTCTGACCCCGCCGTAAAGAAACAGCCGCAACATTGCTACCTTTCACGGCGGGGCTCTGTTTGTTTAAACCTAGCGGTTTTTCTTTCATGCATTTCAAACACTCAAGCCGTTCAGTTAATTCCCGTACACATATCCACCTATGCATCGCATGTTCGCTTCGTTTATTTATACGAACGCGACCGTTCGTTCACTTTCTACTGTATTAATCGTTTCGGTATTCGAACGGCACTTAGGGGACGCATTCATTCGTATGATTCAGCTGTTCATGTATTTCTTTTCCTTTCGGTAATTACGGCCAAACTCACGACACAGGCACGAATTTCACCTAGTTCGCTATTATACTTCCGCCCCTGCTGGTAACAAATGATACTACAGTCTTCTAAAATTCCACTTAGGGGTTAAAATATAGTTGATGAAATCTGAATGTTAGAAACTAATATTCCTGACCTTTTTCCACAGGTCCATACCTAGAATTGCATACTTACGGATTGAAAAATTGTGATTACTGACATTTGTGTCAAATTGTGTTTTCTAGGTTGGTTGAAATTTTGATTATTATAAATTATGCTTTTAGACGAGTTATACATGTTAAATTAGTAAGCATGTAAATTACTCTTCTAGGTTCCTGAATTTCAGACGGTAGCTTTTACAAGCACAAGAAAACCGTCATCACCCTCTGTTTAATTACTACCCCCTGCATAGTGTCTGGTAGATTCATTTTGATTTCGGGCCCACAATCTGGCCAGCTAATACCATAGGCACAGACGCTTATATATTAATTTTCATGTCCATAGGTCGCATCATGATACTATTACAACCGCTATTTATCTTGACATTGACAGCTCGTCATGACTCATATCAGGTACTATGCCAGAACCCAGTAATTTTCTAGTTTTAGAGTGGTACTGTTCCTAGGTTATGTAGCCCAACTACATTAGGAATAATCTTCTGGTCTTAATCCATAGGCAAGTGGTCCCGTGAGGCCAACACCCTCATCCTCGGAAGTATACGTCCCTCGGGCCAAATCACAGCTAGCCGACTCGCACTGTCGCTTTGAGAGGGCCTCACCTGTCACTATTATTCTGTCTTATGCTTTAATTGCCACCCAGAGGCCAACACCCCGCCACAACGTTCGGTGGCCTCATACTTCCCCCTCGGGCCCACGCATAGGTAGTGCCTCTCAGGCTGCTTGGCAATTAGCAGGGACTCATCTGTCACTATCACAAAGTATAATTGTTTCACCGCTTGGTATCTAGCTAGCCTCACCAGTACCCACCCAATTCATTACAGGATGATTGATTAAGCTACTTTATATTTTTCAGTTATGT